GTGGAGGCCTCAGCTGGGTGTTTAGGCCTCGGCTGGGTGTGGAGGCCTCGGCTGGGTATGCAGGCCTCGGCTAGGTGTGTAGACCTCAGCTGGATGTGGAGGCCTCGGCTGGGTGTGGAGGCCTCGGCTGAATGTGGAGGCCTCGGCTGGGTGTTTAGGCCTCGGCTGGGTGTTTAGGCCTCGGCTGGGTGTAGAGGACTGGGCTGGGTGTGGAGACCTCAACTGGAGTCCGTCCGTCCAACGCCCAAGGCACAACTGAACCAATCAGATCGACACTAACTATCTTGATTGAATGGTCAATCACAGGAAAGGGTTGCAGCTTCCGGGTTTCACTCTACCCCCTGTAAGAAGTGCGTTGACAGGCGTCACAGGAATAGGTGTAGCGCTGCTCATCATCCGTCATTCCCGGCGAACAGAACGACTATTGGAAACGTTCGCTCGTTTTTGTATTTCCCATGTGAACCCCCCCCCCCATCACACCCCACGTCCTAGAGTAAAGACAGCCAGCTGGTGCCCCTGAGGACCAAGATGTTGGTCCCAGGTGTCTTGGGGTGTTAGCAACCTACAGACCATTTTCACATTTACCTTCAGGTACCAATACTTTTGCTCATTTTATTGGAAGTCTTTTCCCTATGCAGTGGCTTGTTCACCTTATTGAGGGTAGGATCCTTTCCCTGGGCTTCCCGGAAGTCTTAAGCGCTCACCCCCTTAATAGAGTGCAGTTTAAATGGCTTGACAGGTCTCGGGGTCTGCTTACTCATTGAGCGGGTGGATACAGTGGCTACAAGTGACTGACTGACGAAGTTATTAACCCTTAAATTGCGCATCGCATCATATGATGCTTTGACCGACTTGCAGTAAATTGCGCATCACATCATATGATTCTTTGGAGTACTACGCAAGATTTAAACGGCCCGCGGATATACGGGGTTCACCACACCTTCATCAGGGCTCTTGTAAACAGACGCAATTAAAAAAAAATCGTGGGCCAAATTCTTGGGTGTTAGAGGCCTCAGTATTGAGTGAACTACCAAGCCTGATGCACGCAGCATGAACTCACAGCACTGCTGTTCAGCTTGTGACCACAGCATCACCTAAAAATGCCATAATATACTTGTTCATACTATTATGCAGCGATTTTATTATTACAGAAGACCCCTGACTGTGATAAAACTGACCAGGGTTCTGATAATAGCAGGATTGTGGTGATATTTACCACTGTGCTCCATGGAGGGAGGAGTAATACTGTGGGAGGGGGAGGGTAGTGGCGTTGTCTTCTGACTGTGTGTGGCAACCGTTTATTGACTGCACTCACCATACAAGCTTAATGGCTCGCTATGGTGAACACAAATGTAGATACTTATATATAACGTGTGTATAGAGGGTATGAACAGCAAGAGGAGTAGGTTGGGAGCTGCCATTTTGGTGAGGGCGGTGGCATCGTCTGCATGACTTATCATGTTGTTTACTGGTGACCTCGATGGTCTTTGGGCACCATACCAGTTTACTTGTACAAGTATGGTGAATAAAACAGGTAGAAATTTATATATAATGTGTGTATATAGTGTAATAACACCACAAACAGTATTGTTGGAGGAGAAATATTAGTGCGTCTGGCCTTGAGGGCAGCAGCCATCAGCTGACTGTGTGAGTAGCTATGTCTTTGTGCCTTTACTCACCATACAAGCTTAGATGTACAGTTATGGCGAACAAAACATGTAAATACTTATATATAATGTCTGTATATAGAAGCAAAAGCAATATGGTGGGAGGAGAATGGTGGCAAGTCAGGTGAGGTGAGGAAGGGAGGGCTGCCACTGGCTGCCACTGCCACTCAGCGTACCAACTTAGTGGTTCGTTATGGTGAACACGAATGTAGATACTTATATATAGCGTCTGTATATAGTGAATAAAAGCAAAAACAGTACTGTGGGAGAAGGTAGGTGAGTCAGGTGACTTGAGGGAGGAAGTAGCAGCCAGTGGCGGGCTGCCACTCAGCATGCCAACTTAGTGGTTCGTTATAGTGAACACGACTGTAGATACTTATATATAACGTCTGTATATAGTGAATAAAAGCAAAAACAGTGTGGTGGGAGGAGAATGTGGGCGAGTGAGGTGTTGAGGGAGGGAGTGAGTGGCTGGCTGTGTGTGGCGGTCACTCCTCGTTACTTTTTGACTCATAATAGGAACTTAGTGGTTCGTTATGGTGAACAAAACATGCAGATACTTATATATAATCTGTGTATAGAGTGTAATAACCGACAAAGTATGAGTGTAATAACCGACAAAGTATTTGTTCACTGTTTGATGAACATAATTGAATCAACAATATGCACACCATATTTTTGAGTACAGCGATGATTCACTCATTTTATTATATAAATATATCACACTACACCCTATTGAATAATATTACAGCAAAAAAACTACGAAAAATTAATCAGAGTCATTGAAATAATTAGGTAATTATCTCTTTGTGACTACAGTCTCCGTGGTGTAGTGGTAAGACACTCGCCTGGCGTTCCGCGAGCGCTATGTCATGGGTTCGTATCCTGGCCGGGGAGGATTTACTGGGCGCAATTCCTTAACTGTAGCCTCTGTTTAACGCAACAGTAAAATGTGTACTTGGATGAAAAAACGATTCTTCGCGGCAGGGGATCGTATTCCAGGGACTTGCCCGAAACGCTACGTGTACTAGTGTCTGTACAAGAATGTAACAACTCTTGTATATATCTCAAAAAAAAAAAAAAAAAAAAAAAAACTCCGGCCTGACAGCTGGCGAGCAACAGACCACCTGGGACGCACGCTGAGTCAGCGCCTGCTTTTTGCCAGACTTCCCCGCCCTATAGCGGGCAATATATGCCACTTACGATTTTTTTATTATTTTTCCCATGATCAGTGAACACAAATTAACAGGTTATCTTATCTTGAGGTTATCTTGAGATGTTTTCGGGACTTTAGTGTTCCCGTGGCCCGGTCCTCGACCAGGCCTTCACCCCCAGGAAGGAGCCCGTGACAGCTGACTAACACCCAGGTACCTATTTTACTGCTAGGTAACAGGGGCATAACGTGAAAGAAACTCTGCCCATTGTTTCTCGCCGGCGCCTGGGATAGATCCTAGGACCACAGAATCACAAGTTCAGCATGCTGTCCGCTCGCCCAACCGGCTCCCTTCCGGTTAGGAAGAAAAAATATTTTTTTTTATGCGCCTGTGGGTGTCAAATGGTATATAGCCATGCGCCATTTATGGGCAGCGGCATTGCCCAGCATCCTGGTTGTTTCCCTTCCTCTTATGCCTCTGTTCTTTCCCCGGAGTGGAGGCAGCAGGTGGTGAGCACGGAGTGTGGGTGACTGCCGAGCTTCGCTTCCGCATTCCTGAGCTACTACCCGTTTTCTGTGGAATGTTTTTGGAGGGCGTACCAATTTGATTCGCCACTCTGGGAGTATTTCCGAGCAACAACCCATGCACAGGTTGGTTTGGACGATGGCTTGTTCTGCCATCATCCCATTAGAGACCATGACACTCTCCTTCAGCTTAACTCGGAAAGCTGGTTCACAGTCGGCCAGGCACTGTTCTCTTACCATCAACCATCTGATTAGGAGTAGGGTACCTACTCTTGGACAATCTTCATTAATTCACAATATCTTCTAAGACTGGATTCAGGTCTTTGCAACATCAAAACCTTCATCTCCCCAGGACGTAATTTTATGCGACGGAATGTCTTCATCATACCATCAACTGGTGCAAGTGTAGGGACCCATTGCCTCGGAGAAGAAAATAAAGAGTACTCTGAGAAGACCTTGTGGATACTCACTAATACTGATAATTTCTTCTTCCACCACCCTTATTCTTTTTGTGTATATAAAAAAGTGCAGCAGGTGTATAGGAGAGAATTAAACAACTGGTCAGCAGAGATGACAGGGAGATCTCCAGCTGGATATGTGCATTTATGAATTAACTACCGTCGCAAACAGATGGTTTATTGACATGCATTTTGAGTCCTGTTATGTTCAGAGTCTTAGAAACTGTGTGTTGGGAATGATTGTGATCATGGAGAACCCCAGAATCTCTAGATGTTGAATGCTGAGGGTGTGATTTTTTTTTATATAACTTCATCATAGAATTAGTTTATACGTTTTTGAAATTGTCTTCTCATCATCCAAATTTTGTGATATAAATTGTGCAAATATCTGTCATGCTATTGTCATGATTTTTCCTTTCTGTAAATATCTATACGTGAACCCAACAATCAATGTATAAACATTTATGAATAAATTATTTGAATTTCCGTTTGAATGAATAATATTTTCCCCAATATCTAAATGTTGAATTCCAAAATCTTGTTAATATGAAATTAAAATTCTAATGTGGGCAGATTAGTTGTAATTGCTAATGTAAAACCCCCGTTGAGGTCTGATTAGGATCATTTGTGGCCTTTGTATTACTTTTTTGGGCCCCATGGGTGCCAGGTTATCTTGAGGTTATCTTGAGATGATTTCGGGGCTTTAGTGTCCCCGCGGCCCGGTCCTCGACCAGGCCTCCACCCCCAGGAAGCAGCCCGTGACAGCTGACTAACACCCAGGTACCTATTTTACTGCTAGGTAACAGGGGCATAGGGTGAAAGAAACTCTGCCCATTGTTTCTCGCCGGCGCCTGGGATCGAACCCAGGACCACAGAATCACAAGTCCCGCGTGCTGTCCGTTCGGCCAACCGGCTCCCAGGTTGAGTAAGAGAGTGCACAATAAATTACCGCCTCAGACGGCAGTAATCATAGTCAAACTGCTCGACCAGGACATGAAGAGCGGTCTCTGTGGTAAGGATGTTACTCACCAAGACATGAAGAGCGGTCTCTGTGGCAAGGATGTTACTCACCAGGACATGAAGAGCGGTCTCTGTGACATGGATGTTACTCACCAGGACATGAAGAGCGGTCTCTGTGGCAAGGATGTTACTCACCAGGACATGAAGAGCGGTCTCTGTGGCAAGGATGTTACTCACCAAGACATGAAGAGCGGTCTCTGTGGCAAGGATGCCTCGGGCAAACTTCCTGACAGAGGCCAGGTCGGACGTGTCTAACTTTCGTACTGCCACCTTCCTGTTGCCTGTAGTCCTCATGATGTCATCTGAAAGTCAACATAAACTATTCGATTTCATGGAATATGGAACGTAGGAAAATCAAATACCAGAACATAAATAAAGTTCTGCACCGTCTAGAGTGAACCAAAATATATGTCAGCAGTAAAACCATGCTAGAAAAATTCCTTAAAGGTAGGGTCAAGGTCGAAAGTATTTAGGTTGTTCTTACAATCCAGTCCAATTGAGATGAAAGATAAGAGTTTCGATAGACATAATTAACGGGCTCACATTTCATGATAGACAAATATACATGCACCTTATAACAGTTAGGAGATGGTCCTAAATCCTTACATTGTTTGCACCACTTAAACTTTCCATAAACAAACAGCCTTGTATACACCTCTTAGTTAGTTGCACTTTGAATTCCTTTGCAATCCTTTGATACGCAAAATTACTTTTACCTGCCACTTTTTGAGCTTTGTTAGTGTCTCTGCAGGCGAGGATAACTCGAGCTCCACGTCGGGCCAAGTCTCGTGCCGCCTCCTTCCCGATGCCTGGTCGGAAAATAAAGATTTTGGCTTCATAAGTTTCACACAACTACATCTGTACCTACTTATTCACCCACTGATTCATTGCTAATTACAAAACCCGTCGCTGGTGCTGCTGCACTTTCAAATGATAGTTTTACTGTCAAGTATTAGCTGCAGTATATAGATTCCCTAATACAAATTTAAATGAATTTATCGCTAACTTTAAAAATTTAACATTAAGCAACAAAAATTAACTAATACTATCAGATGAATTAATACTGACCTCTGCTAGCCTGATAACCGTCAAGTTGCTGGTTTCCTCAATTGAATGAACTGCTTGCTCATACCCTTGATCACCATACCTACGAGAATTTCTGAAGCAACAGCCTCTACTCTTGACCACATCTGGACAAACATAACCTTTCCACTAACCTCAGGGATAATCACTGACGGAATCACAGGTCATTACCCGACAATTTTTTTAACAAAGAATTCAAAACTACACTTAGATACCGTTAGACAATGAAGATTTACTTTAGGCTGCACAATGAAGCTGTCATGAGCAGCATTGTAGTTGTTTCTGGTACCATTAATTGGATGACTGAACTCGGTAAATTGCCAAACATCATCCAAAGCGTGCAAACATTTCTTCATAAAACTTTAAGCCTCTATAGTACCCACAGTCCAGTGCTTAATAGGAAACTCATTACAAAAATGATAATCAACCCATGGCTTACTAAAGTTATACTTAAATCTATCAGCAAAAAAACATGAATATGTGAACGAAAGTTGGTTCGTAGTTATTTCCAAAGAAGGGTTTAGGAGGTACTTCTCAATGTTAGGATAATTAGAAAATCCAAAACAAGATACCATGAAAAAAATGTAATCAAATAAATGGTAACATGAAGAAAAAGGGGACACTATTTCCCAGATATTAGGTTCAAGGAAGAACTTAATAAAGAAATTTGTATTTCTGAACCGACAATGATGGAGTGCCTTTAGCCACAAACACTGCTCTCAGCCACAGACACTGCTATTAGACACAGCCACTGCTCTCAGCCACAGACACTGCTCTCAGCCACAGACACTGCTCTCAGCCACAGACACTGCTCTCAGCCACAGACACTGCTCTCAGCCACAGACACTGCTCTCAGCCACAGACACTGCTCTCAGCCACAGACACTGCTCTCAGCCACTAACACCTTTGTCTAGAGTGAAATACTGGTGAAGCAGAAATACTAGTGAAATACTAGTGAAGCAGAAATACACTGTAAATCACGGGTCCCAAACCATGGAATGATCTTCCAAATTATATTAAAGAATGTTCTTCTCTAAACCAGTTTAAAATATAAACTAAAAACTGTTTAGTTATCTATATGAAACGAGCCTTACTCACCTCTTCTCACCCTACATGTCAACCTGTGTTTTGCTGTTATAGCAATCATTAATTACTAAACTTTTAATTTTATTAAAAACTACTATATCAAAATTTAATACAAAAGATTTATAACATCTGTTTCATCTGTTCTTCAATATAAATTTACTTACTATGTTTGTATTGCTGCAAAGTCTTAAGTTTCCATATATCACTTACAAATTATTATTCATTTTCTAATTCTAAGTCTTTACCGACTCATAAATGTTATATTGTTAACAGTTTTAAGAATTACCCCATTAAGATTATATGTGGGTTTTCCTCATTTTAATATTATGACCGAAGCATATTACTGGTTTTAAGCTATGTCCTTTTTTACATATGAATCCTCCTCTGTTCATATATCGTCTGTATGTATGCACTCTTTCCTAAATAATAATAATTATCATTGTGATGTAAGCGTATAGTGCATACAAGCCTATACATACAAAACAAATTAATGGCTCACCACAAGCAGTTCCTTCTAAACAAGCAGATTCTTGACACAAAATCACATCAAACTTTAATCTAAATAATGGTTGAGCTATAACAAATCTAAAAGGTTCCCACAACAAGAGACTAAAGGGTCCACATACCAGCAGAAGCTCCGGTGACAACAACCGTCTTGCCCACCAGTTGCCTTTGGGAGTAACATCGGCCTGATTGGTACCTGTAGATGATCCTTATGGCCAGGACCACCAGCGCCACCCCGGCCGCCCAGTACAACATGCTCCCAGAGGACCTGTACACACACTTAGTTTACTTCCTTTATTATTCACAGCCACTGGAGTAGCCATTAAATCATATAAGCAGTGTTTAGAGCACCAAGGGAAGGGTGCGCCACGGAGTATTGGTACCATAGCTGTAGCTATGCAGAATCACAGGGAACGGGGTACCACAAAGTACCGGTACCATAGCTGAGGCTACATAGCGTTAGTGGGAAAGGGGTACCACAGAGTACCGGTACCATAGATGTTGCTATGCAGAATCAAAAGGAAACGGGTACCACAGAGTACAGGTACCATAGCATATGCTATATAGCATCAGTGGGAATGGGGTACCACAGAGTACTGATACCATAGCTATGCAGCATCCCAGGGAAAGAGGAACCACAGAATACCGGTACCATAGCTGTAGCTTAATGTACCAAGGGAATGGGATATCAAAAACTACCAAAGTTGTTGCTTAGTAATTACCTAAGTTTAATTACAGGATGAGAGCTACGCTCATGATGTCCGTCTTAACCGATCTCTGTCATAAAACGCTTTGAAACTACTGACGGTTTTGGCCTCCACCAACTTCTCACCTAGCTTGTTCCAACCGTCTACCACTCTGTTTACGAAAGTGAATTTTCTTATATTTCTTCGGAATCTTTGTTTAGTTAGTTTAAATCCATGACCTCATATTCTTGAAGTTCCAGGTCTCAGAAGTTCTTCCCTATGAATTTTATCGATTCCTGTTACTATTTTGTACGTAATGATCATATCGTCTCTTTTTCTTATCTTATAGTTTTGCATATTTAATGCCTCTAACCTCTACTTGTAGTTCTTGTCCTTCAGTTCCGAGAGCCATTTAGTTGCATGTCTTTGCACATTTTCCAGCTTATTAATGGACTTCTTGAGATATGGGCACCATACAATCGCAGCATATGTCAGCTTTGATGTAACAAAGGTCGTGAACAATCTCTTTAGTATTTCACCATCCTTGTATTTAAAAGCAATTCTGAAATAGGAAAGTGTAGCATATGCTCCTCTCACGATGTTCTTTATGTGGTCTTCAGGTGATAGTTTTCTATCTAGTACCACCCCTAGATCTCTTTCTCTATCAGAATTTTGTAAATATTTTCCTCATAATTTGTAGTTTTTTGTTGTTTACGTTCTATTCCGTATGACATAACATGCATTTATTCACATTAAATTTAATTTACCAATGGTGCTCCATACACTTATTTTGTCTAGGTCTTGTTGAAGGGCCTGACAATCGTCTAAGTTTCTTATGTTCCCTAGTATTTTAGCATCATCAGCAAACATTTTCATAATTCCGTATTCCTTCGGGTAAGTTGTTTATGTAGACAATAAACATTACCGGTGCCAAAACTGAACCCTGTGGTACTCCACTCGTGACATTTCTTCAGTCTGATACATTGCTTCTGATTACTACCCTCATTCTTATTTCAGTTAGAAAATTGTTCATCCATGTTAAAAGCCTACCTCTCACTCCTCCAATATGATCCAGTTTTCAGAATAACCTCTTATGTGGAACTCTGTTGAAAGCCTTTTTTTTTTAGGTCCAGGTAGATGCAGGCAACCAAACTACGTCTTTCCTGTAAAATCTCTTTGGCTCTATCATAGAAACAGAGTAAATTCGTAACACAGGATCTTCCAGATCGAAAACCATACTGTTTGTCTGGTATTATATACTTTTTCTTCATGTGTTCTACCTATTTAGTTTTAATTTGTTTTCCAATATTTTGACTATTACACTTATCAATGATACAGATTTATAATTGACGGAGTCTTCCCTGCTACCACTTTTGTAGATTGGAACTGTGTTAGTCTTTCATCTACTAGAACTGCTAGGGCCTACACATCTGCTAGGACTCCTGTACACAAGGATGCCCGAAAAATTAGTTAAAGTGGAATGCTACACTCAGGTGCGCATTCTCGCAGAACCTACAGTGAAACTCCATCTGGGCGGACTGCTTTGTTCTTACCTTAAGCATTTTTTCCACTTCGTCTCTAGACACTTCAATGTGCTATATGTTGTTCTCTGGAATTCTTATTGTGTCTGGTTCTCTGAAGGTTTAATTTTACACAAACACACTTTGGAACTGTTCATTTATTGTTTCACACATTTCGTTTTCATTTTCCGTGAACCTGTTTCCCATTTTCAACCTCTGAATATTATTCTTTACCTGCAATTTGTTTTCTATGATTTTATAGAGTAGGTCTGGTTTTGTTTTATATTTGTCCCCTATCCCTTATTCAAAATTTCTTTCCGCCCTTCTCACTGCCAAGTAATTGTTTCTTGCTTCTTTGTATCACTGGTATGTTTAGGGGTTTGACATCTTCCTATATTGATTCAATCTTTGTGTCTTTTGGTTGAAATTGAAATTGCCCTCTCGCAATTTCTGTTGAACAAATTCTGTTGCTGTTCAGTTCTGTTCAAATCTTGTTCTGCATCTCTGCCTTGGTATAAATGTTGTTGTGCCTTTGTCATATATTTAACATAACTTGACATACATCTCATTTACTTCCTTGCATAAAAGCAAGACTTTTGAGGCAAATTTCTTAAATAATTTTTTAAGTTCCTGAAAAACCTGAAAATAGGTTTTCCACCTGTTTCAACTTCCACATTTTCTTCCAAATTATAATGCATTGCATATTTTTTTCTCAGAAGGACATGGTCACTTTTACCCAAGGGAGGAAGGTACTGAATATCAAATGTCTCTTCCTCTTGTTATTGGGAAGTCTGCACCTAGGTACCACTGCCCACCCTGGGAGCACCTCAGTCTACCACGGGCTGGAGTTCCTTCCTGCAACTCAGTCTTGCATCCGTGTGAGGGAGGTAAAGCTCAACCCTCCACAGAACCGCATTGTTGTAACCAGACTGGGTCGCCAATGTAGAGAGAGGCTACGTGCTTATATATATATTTATATATATATATATATATATTTTTTTTTTTTTTTTTTTTTTCATCAAGTCCCTGTTAATATGGGAGAACACTGTGTCTATGAACTTAAGGCACAACTCTCCTAAACACGAGAGTGAAGTATACAACTTTAGAACACTTTCCCACCAGGAGACTCGAACCCTAGCCAGCACAGAAGCCTTCCAGCAACTGGCATAACAGATACGCCTTAACCCGCTCCACCACCTGCTCAGACCCTTAAAAGAGATGGTAATTTCGGAGTATTTAAATACCACAAAGATCACCACCTCCCAAGAGCACTAGAGCAAGTGAGGGGTCATTTATACGTTTATTTCATCAAGTCCCTGTTAATATGGGAGAACACTGTGTCTATGAACTTAAGGCACAACTCTCCTAAACACGAGAGTGAAGTATACAACTTTAGAACACTTTCCCACCAGGAGACTCGAACCCTAGCCAGCACAGAAGCCTTCCAGCAACTGGCATAACAGATACGCCTTAACCCGCTCCACCACCTGCTCAGACCCTTAAAAGAGATGGTAATTTCGGAGTATTTAAATACCACAAAGATCACCACCTCCCAAGAGCACTAGAGCAAGTGAGGGGTCATTTATACGTTTATTTCATCAAGTCCCTGTTAATATGGGAGAACACTGTGTCTATGAACTTAAGGCACAACTCTCCTAAACACGAGAGTGAAGTATACAACTTTAGAACACTTTCCCACCAGGAGACTCGAACCCTAGCCAGCACAGAAGCCTTCCAGCAACTGGCATAACAGATACGCCTTAACCCGCTCCACCACCTGCTCAGACCCTTAAAAGAGATGGTAATTTCGGAGTATTTAAATACCACAAAGATCACCACCTCCCAAGAGCACTAGAGCAAGTGAGGGGTCATTTATACGTTTATTTCATCAAGTCCCTGTTAATATGGGAGAACACTGTGTCTATGAACTTAAGGCACAACTCTCCTAAACACGAGAGTGAAGTATACAACTTTAGAACACTTTCCCACCAGGAGACTCGAACCCTAGCCAGCACAGAAGCCTTCCAGCAACTGGCATAACAGGTACGCCTTAACCCGCTCCACCACCTGCTCAGACCCTTAAAAGAGATGGTAATTTCGGAGTATTTAAATACCACAAAGATCACCACCTCCCAAGAGCACTAGAGCAAGTGAGGGGTCATTTATACGTTTATTTCATCAAGTCCCTGTTTATACGTTTAGGAGAGTTGTGCCTTAAGTTCATAGACATATATATTCTTATATATTATATATATATACACTTATATATATATTCTCTGGCATAAGTTATCATATTAATGTCACATAAAAGAAATCATCAACGACACAATAAATTCTTCAATAATTCCAGGTGCCTGCACACACCACGTATATAAATATCGTGAGAGCTCTGTACAGCCTCACTCTACACAACTGTGCCTTACTGTGACATAGACATAAGTGAGCCTTGCTCACGACATGAAAGATACTCTGGCTAAAAATATAGCTGACTAAAGGGGAATTGGGAGGGAAACTAGAATCACCTACTTCCACCTCACTGATGTGGACTCGCCCTCTGGTGAGAGTTGAATTGTAGCTCCTGGTCCCAGCTCTCGCCTCGTTGTAGGGAACGCCCCCACACACACACTGATGCGTTCTCCAGGAACCCAATCAACGTCCCCAAATAAACGCGTCGTCTCCGTGCTCTGTTCTCCGCATGGTCCATGCACCTCCGCAACGTCTTGCAGGGTTGGAGTCGGTCTCCCGGCCGTCGACTTCTCCTCACAACTACGGCTGCCAACCTACTTCTCGGCTGCAGTCGTCCTGATTCCCAATTAGTTTTCTTCTTTCACTGCTTCCCGGTGGATTGGCCCAGCCGCTACGTCGTCTCTGTGAAGCTATCATACGCCCCAGACGTCACTGTCTAGACTTCACCTGCACAGCACCTGTCCCTGGAGCACTTGTTGCTCAATATTCCGTCGATTCCCTCTTCAGTCCAACAAATAAACAAGGAAAGACCTCACAGCGTACTTGCAGACAACGGGTGACGCGTAAAATTCACGGGAGCTGAGTACAACTGTCAA